GTATTTTTATTTTTTCAAACAAGACATCTAGAATATTGTTAAGTACAATGGAAACAGATTTAATGACTGCATTTAAAGAATTAGTAATAAATCTGAATTTCTCAGGATTTTTATGCAATTTTTGAATTGCATATAAAAATGGTAAATGCATACAAGAATAATCTGTATGGGTATTCCATTTTTTAATAGCCTTCTTTAAATTAGTAATAACATAATTTTTTTAAAGTACTTTTAGTTAAAGTACTTGTGGTATTAATTTCATTGTGTAAAATGTGTGCATATAAATTTTTTCACACAAAACCAAATTTACAGCCAGCTTCATCAATCGGGGAATAACGAATTGTTTTCGAATTCATTTTATTTTTAAATACATCGAAAGAAATATCTAATTTATATCGAGATAATTTTAAAGTTCTTAATCGATTTTTTATGGAATTAATAAAATATAACTTCCATTTAAAAAGAAACATGACGGATAATAGGATTGTTTACTTATTTAGTAATATAATCTTCAATATTTTTTCTAAGTCTTTTAAGAGTTCACATTTTCTGTGCGTTTTAAAATTTTATGTTTAGTACCTTTCTTTAATATTGATTGTAATACTTTATCTTTGACAACTTCTAAATTTCCTGTAACTATATGATTATGAAAGATATCTTTAAAAACACAATTATTACAGTTACAAGATAAGTTGTCAACTTCATGTAATTAAATTATTCAATGATTTTTTATAGTTTAAGTGAAGAGTTCCTATAGGTTTAATATATTTAAAACTGACTATCAGTTGAAACCATTCTATGGGAAAAATATATTCTTTAATACTTTTAAGAATCAGGGAAGGTAAATATAAATCATCATAAACTTTAAGTTTAAAATCAATTACTATATAAGATTTCTCTATTTTCTTTAGTGAAGGGAGTATAGGTATACGATTCAGTTTTAATCTAAATTTAATTAGATCTATAATTAAGTCTTTACCGTGGATATTTTTAAATTCAAAGTTTAACATATATTTTGAGATATATTTGAGTTTTGCATTTGTTAATTCAAGTACTTGTCTTATTATAAATTTCACCAGATTAACAAAGTTGGTCATTTTTTATTAAAATGTGGTTTTTAGTATGGAAGAGCTTAATAACTCGAGTCACAACAACTCTGATTTATCATGTTTCGTGGCTTGTTTTGTTGTAATTAACTAATTAGTAAGTTTAAAGTAGCTGGATATATTCATGCTAAAATTTAGCATTCGTTTTAGGCCTAAAAGTTGTTTTTACTTAAATATTCAACCTTTTTTGTGAAGATTCAGAATTAACCATTTAGAGGTGGTACTTCCTTTCCTGTAACTTGTGAATAAAAACAAAAATATATTTTATTGATGAAGGTCATTGTATCGAGACGGTCTGATTCCCAAGAAAACGATTTTTGTTGGTTATGCACGTTCCAAGCTAACTGTTGACGACATCAGGAATAAAGCTGAGCCATATTTAAAGGTATTTTTTTTTTGATGCTAAAACTTCTACATAGCATTTATGTTGTTGTTTGTTTGTTCTGTGTATCAGTGAACTGAAAAAGTAGAGATAAGCTAGCTAGTCAACAGCACATACCGCCAACTGTTGGGCTATTCTAATCGATTATAAGGATTTGACCTACAGTTATATAATGTCCTCTTGGCCCTAAAGTGAGAAATGCTACTTTTCGGCAACGGGATACGAACCGTGGACCCTTGAATTGACCGTCTAGAACGTTAACTTCTAGGCAACACCCTGCTCCTTATGTTGTCAGTCTGTTTGTTTATATATATAAGTATCGGCAATAATTTATTGCTATAAAAATTATTTTACTCTCTCATTTGAAAATATTGTTTTAAAATGATTCTTTTGTTAGCGGGTTCTTTTAAATTATCTTGTGAAAATAACTTAAAGTCCAGCTTGCCCTCCCAGTGGCACAGCGGTATGTCTGCGGTCTTACACCGCTAGAAACCGGGTTTCGATACCCGTGGTGGGCAGAGCACAGATAGCCCATTGTGTAGCTTTGTGCTCAACTTCAAACAAAGTCCAGCCCATGTAGTAATCACAAATTAGTATATTTCCTCCTTTAACGTTTCTACAAGCTTGAACACTTGTCTTAAAGTATTGTAGGCCTACGTTACAAATGACGTTTAAACTTTTCAAACAATCTAGGACTAATGTAGAATCTAATCAACTTACTTCCCCAAAGTAACCGTGATAGGTAACATACTGACTGATTAATTTGTATCATCTTCTTGAAACAATTCTGAAACAACACTTCAATCTTCTTAACTCTGTACTCGTTCATTATTTACCACTAGTTTCTAATTGATTGGCCTACTCGGATTTTATAACTTGGCAAACTCTCTAGATCATTGCATCATCAATTACCCGCAGCTCTTTCTAGCTAATAAACAAATTATATTAAAAAATATAGGTTACAACACTGGAAACTTCCTGTATTGTGAAGTTAAACAAGCAATATTTTATCTTTTTTAATAATAAAGAAAACACTGCACCAAACTGTCCATTCACCAACTCTTACGTGGTTTTTCTATTGAGGTACATCATATATGGATGGGATGGCATCTTGTCCCTTGTTATTATTGGTATTCCTGTCACTTAAGGAGTTCTTCCTCATTAGATGGTTGGGTGAAGTCACTGGCAGATCTAACCTTGAAGATCCTCTGAAAGTAACCTCAACAGGAGCTTTAAGAACATAGATATGACCTTGAAACTGGTGGTTGGAAGAGCTCACGTGGTTGTAAAGAATAAAGGTGTTTAACACGATTTCACCAATGAAAGACTTAAATCTGCTTGTGAAAAAACAAGATCTTATTTAGGTAGCATGAGAGGTTATTGTCACATGAGAGGACAATCTCCAAAGTTGAGTAAGTGTTTGGAATGGTGATACACTGTACTGAAAAAAATCAAAGAGGTGAACTACAAAATCTGAAGCATAAACAATCGAAACTACAGGTAATCGACTTTGGAAGTGTATCTGTAAGAGAATGGCTGACTGGGTAACTACAGAGAAAAATATGTTGGTGGAAACTCAACCTTCTGAGGATGCAATCACTAGATGAAGTTTTATTGCTAATAATTCCTGGTATGGCTGTTTCACTTTTTGGTGGTGCAAAGACCAAAGTTCTCATTCCCACTGGAAGTTTAACCTCTGGTGTAGTAATTGCAATGTAGTGCAAGGGATTTCATGGTCATATTCTGTGAAACTATCTGAAGCTAGCCTAACTTCACATCCATGTCTCCTCATGAAATCAATTCCCAATAAGCACTCTTCTTTAATGTCAATTACCCACACATCATGATGTGTAGATAAGCTTTCTATGGCAAAAGAAACTTCTGCCTTCCCTTTTGCTTAAACTTTATGCCCACCTGCTGTTTATATCAATCCCTCTTCTTTCTTCGTCACTGTAGCCAATTTCCCATCTTTCATTAACAAATTGGGTTGAACAATTGTAGCTGCAGAGCCAGTGTCAATCAGCATACTGCAAGGTTTTTCATCAATAAACTTAGGAACTTGTAGATGATTTTCCTAAAATATTGAACTTATTTTCTCGTTTGGGATAGATGGAGTATTTCCAGTTGAATTTCACCTCATAAATCTAACCAGTTATTGTCTTTTTATTATGCCTGGTTAGTTCTTTGTTGTTCCTTTGATCTGATTAAGCCCAAAGGCACATCTGCTGGGTATTTTCTCTTTGGCTCAAAAAACAGCTGTTTGTTCCTTACAGTATCAATTTTAATAGCTGTAATGACTAGGTTTCCCACATCTGTAACAGTTACCTCTTTTTAGTATCGTTTGAAAGGAGCTTTTATTCCATTCAGGCTTTGCCATTTTGGCAATATATTACTTCAACTTACACTTGTGACATCTATTTTCCTCTGTTCTGTTTAACTAGTTGTCTAATCAATTCTTTCACTTTTTCTAGAATATTTTTTTTGGGAGAGTTGATGTTTCAATACCAAAGGATCTGATATTTTCCTAACTTGTAGGTGATGCCTTCTTTAGTAGTTCATCTGCAACTTTAATGGTTTTTAGTTCCACTGCCAATTGCAGAGCTTCCTCTATGGATGTACACCTATACTTAGCTTCAGCCACATCCACATAACCTCATCTGTTATGGCATTATAAGTTGATCACGTGCCAACGAATCCAAGCCTTTTCAAATCTTCTGCAAGTTCAGCTAAGGTTTCCTCTTTCCTTCAAACCATATTACCAAACTTTGCTTTGGATACTTCTTTCTGGTATGACACTACAAACCTGTTGGATAAGGTGACTACCAACGAAAGGTTATTAAGTTGTAAAAACTTGTCCCTTTAAAGAGACAGCAAGGTGAATAACTTGTTATTCGCTATTCCACTTGTTCACTCTGTAAATTATTTCAAACTGAGCTTGATATGACTACCATGGTACTTTCCCATCATAAACCATTGGTTTCTCAATTGGCTAGCTAAATTTTGGAAATGGATTTGATAGTGTCATGCCTGGAATAGTTCAGGAAGGTTCTTCAGTAACAGATGGCACAGCAGTAGTGGTAATATGTGCAGACCAAGTAAGTTCTATTCCCCATCTGGTAGAAGTTGGTGTTTTGGGTTAGAATTGTTTCACACATATTTCATTTTATCACTGATGTTCTTTTCTATCTCATTGATGTCTTTCTTTACATCATCGATTTTGTCATTACAGCCTCTGTACTTTTGTGATGTCCTTCTGCATCAGATTTATTTTTGATTTTAATTCTTCTTTAAATAGTACATCTCTTTCTTTTAACTCTTTCCTTTAAGTTTTGTCATTTTCTTTCTGGTCTTCTTTTAATATTATCTCATTCTTCTTTAAGTGCCTTGTTTCTATCTGTTTGTTCTTCTTTCCATTATTTTATCATGTCTAGCAGGTTTCTGGTCTCTCTCTCTGAGCCCTTGTGGTCATCAAATATGTTCAAAGTCCTCTTTTATTTTGACCAAAATAATATCCCACTTCTGACAACTATGTTGTAATGTAAATCTTTCACTGATGAGATCTTTCAGTTTATTAGGTGAAAATAACTCAAAGTATCAATCACAAGTTAGTTTCTTTCCTGTTTTAACCCTATATGTACAGATGGGGATCAAAGTGCAAGATTTTACAGAATGCCATTCAACATGGTGTTATTTATTTGATGTCAGAATTATGAACTATTTATCTGACTTTACATTGCTGATTTAGTGACAGTTCATTGTAGAGGAGAGTAAATACCAGATATAATATACAGGGATACTTAAAAAAACAGTAGATGTGCATTTTGGAGGTCCTAGAGGTTATTGCAAATGCAGTGTGTCAACTTTACAATGGGCAAAAATATTTTTATTATTCACATGAACATCAGCCTGCACTTCGACTTGTCAGAGTCTGAGATAGAATGAAATTGGTAATTCAAAGACATATTTTAAGTATACAAGGTACTTTTGTAACACATCTTACTTTTTGCATACAACAGACTTGTACATTTGACTAAAATCTTGTCACATATCGCTTAGATATGTATAGTAATTTCGAAATTATAGTCAACATGCCTTCTCCAATACAGGAACTAATCCCGTGTACACTAAGTTAACATATCTACAATATTGAATATACTTGTACACTATTTTAACTTGTTGTAAGCTTACATTACAAATGGTATTTAAACCTGTCGAACAATTTAGGACTAACTTAAAATCAAAAGAACTTTCACAAAGTAACTGTGATAGTTAAGACACAGAGACTGATTCATTCTACTATCTTCTTGGAAGAACACTAAAACAATGTTACAGTATTCTTAATTTTATTTATACTCATTCACTATTCACCACTAGCTTCTAATTGATGGGCCAAATCGTATTTTATAACTAAGCCTTGTTCTAGATATTTTGCAAAGTCTCTGGATCATTACATTATCAATGACCAACAGCTCCCTCTAGCTAACAAACAAATTACAAAATTAAAGATATAGCATACAACAATATATATATATACATATAAATATGTATATGTATGCTTAGACGGCAAAAGAGCTCCCTTGACAAAAAACGTTAATTTAAAAATCGTTAAACTGTAGAACTTTCAGTTCTTATTCTGTTTAAGTCTGGAGGAAATGCAGAGTATATATCACTGCATATGAAATAATATTTTCCCTCACATTTGTTTCAGGTAAAAGATGAAGAAAAAGAGCAAGTAAATAATTTTTTCAAAATGAATCATTATGTTAGTGGCTCATATGATAAGCCAGAAGATTTTCAACAGTTGAATGAGGAAATCAGTAAATTTGAGTTGGCCAATCACTGCAACAGGCTATTCTACCTCGCATTACCACCAAATGTTTTTCAGTCATCAACTAGTAACATCAAAGCTCACTGCATGGCCAAAAAGTAAGTTTACTACTTAAATTACTTCATTTTCACCTAACAAAGAAGATTCTTACCGTGAATATATTGCATTCCACATATGCTACATCATATTGTTATTTAGGATAGGGATTTCTTTTGTTACTGATTATTCAACATTTATATTTTACTCTTGCAACAGAGTTGTAATAAAATTGTATGTGAGCAGTAATATCACATTTTAGAATAGAAGTTCAAAGGAATTCTAATGAAACTTGTAACTGTGCCCAAATCAAAAGTCAGATTGTCAGTATTATTAGAATTGTAACTTTTTTAGGGTAAATGCAAACAATTTTTAGGGAAACTAAAATAACATACAGTAACTAGACGGGTTAATATCATAGTTTCCAAACTCTTTCTAAAAATAAAGAATAAATCTAATCATCATTAGGACAAAGTTGATGTGTACTTGTAAGTTCAAACTGTAATGAAATTATATTAGAGTAGACAAGCTACTTATTTATTATATAACCACTAATTAATGAAAATCTTTAGGGACTCAGGATTAATGTGAATAGAGTTTCTTTTCCACTTATCTCTGGATATCCTTTAGGATGCTGAATTATTTCTTAGGAATTAGATAAAACCTGTGGAAGATACAACTGTTGAAGAAAATGTTCAAGTTTATGATTTTTAAAATGCTTTCCTTTTATTAGGGGTTGGACAAGAACTATTATTGAAAAACCATTTGGACGAGATGCTGAAAGTTCAGCAGAACTGTCCAATCATCTTAGTTCTATGTTTAAAGAGGAAGAGCTTTATCGGATTGACCATTATCTAGGCAAAGAAATGGTACAGAATCTTATGGCTCTAAGGTAAGCTCCAAATTAGTCTTACCATGTAATACTGCATAATTGAATTACAAAAATAACTTAGATCAAGGTTTGGGAATATGGTATTCTCAGGTAATTTATAAGCTTAGAGACAAGGATGGCAACCACATTAGCTACAGGAATGTCAGGAAATGTACTCTGGAGTTAAACTGAATACTTTATTTCTGATGGAGTTTGGAACAGAAAAGAGACTGAAAACAATGTTAAAACAAAGTGAAAAGCAATCTGTTAAATAAAAAATAATCCAAGCAAATGATTACATTGGTGTATGGATAGTGTTTCTAGATAGAAAGGTTTGAAATTTCACTTTCTTAATCTGAAGAGATTCTGTTCTAGATTGAGAGAGTATGATATTATACACAGGAAAACAATAATGTCATCCTACTCAGCACATATGCACTACCCGAGTCACTAGTTGTCTTTAGAGAAAGTGAGGATGAATAGCTTCTAAATCAGGGCTTCTCAGCCAGTTTTGCCAGAGGACAAGCACATCTGGGCTTTGGTTATCATGACCCCCCCCCCTTTATTTCTACAAGGATGAAAAAATTATTGATGTTTCTTGGTGAATTTCATCATAGTTCATAACAAAGGTGTACACCTCTCAGATCCCTTGAGGACTAAAGAAAAATGTTGACTCAGTGCAGATACCTTGTGACCCCTCTGGAAACCTGCTTGTGACCCCAGGGGGGTTGCAACCCACCACTTGAGAAAAACTGCTCTAGATATTTCTAAAGTTAAATACAGTGATGCTGCTAGACATTCAATATAAGGTCAAAAAAGAGCAATCGGAGAGATTGCATGCCCTTACCCCATCACTGCTTTCCGAGATTGCATACACTTATATTGGATAAGTCACACAGGATAACCTTAGATTTCACCTTTGAAACTGAAAATCCTTCTGAGATCCAGATCATTTTTTGTAGTGTGATGAGGGGTCTCAACCTTAACGTGCCCACGAAATTTGGTACAAATCTGATCACACGTTATAGAGTTATTTACCCCAAACCACGAAAATGCCCTATCTCCCCATTATAAAAATTACTTCAAAGTGATCCAGATATTAATTGATATTAATGCTCTAAAGACGCTTGTTGAGTCTAACCCAAGGAAACACACTTGTAAAATAGCCCTGAAATTGCATGTATCTCATGAAACAATACGTAAACAAGGTAAAGAAGGTGTTTGGGTGCCTCTTGAACTCTCCGATGATCATCGTTTCCAACGTGTGAACGTTGCTTCGTCTCTACCGGTGCATGAACCATTTTTGGACAGAATTTTCACCGGTGATGAAAAATGGATTCTGTATGCGATTATTAAATGCTAAAAACAATGGCTCAGTTCTAGACAAACACCACTTCTGACCCCAAAACCTGGACTCCATCCGCAGAAAATGATGCTTTGTATTTGGTCGGTATCAAAGGAGTAATTCATTTCGAACTCCTCAATCCACAGTCAACTGTAAATGCAGAGATTTATAGTCAGCAACTGGAACGTTTAAATCAAGACCTTCATCAGAAACACCCTTTGCTCGTCAGTTGGAAAGATGTTCTTCAACACAACAATGCACGTCTACACATGGCATGTTTGACGCAACACAAGATTATGGAGTTGGGTTGAGAAGTTCTCCCCCACCCACCATATTCTCCAGATATGGAACC